AGCATCACAAAAAAAGAAAATTAGAGGCCAATGTCATTGATGAACACTGATGCAGAAATTCTCAACAAATTATTAGCAAACCAAAGACATTAGTACATTATTGTATCCATACACTATGATCAAGTGGAATTTATTCCAGGGATACAAGGATGGTTCAACATCTGCAAATCAGTCAGTGTGATACACCAGATCAACAAATGAAGTATAAAAATTGTATGATCATCTCAATAGCTGCAGAAAAAGCATTTGACACAATTGAACACCATTTTATGAAAACTCAACAAAGTGGGTATAGAGGGAACATACTGCAATATAATAAAGGCCATATATGATAAACCCATGGCTGACATCACAGTCAGTGGTGAACAGTTGACCACTTTTCCTCTAAGATCAGGAATAAGACAAGAATGGCCAATCACTTGTATTCAACATAGTAATGAACATCCTAAAAACAATAATTAGGCAAGAAAAAGAAATAAAAAGTGTCCAAATCCTAAATGAAGAAGCAAAACTGTCACTATGTGCAGATGACATGATACTATATATAGAAAACCAACAAAACACTGTTAGAATTAACAAATTAATTCAAAAAATAATAATAAATTCAGTAAAGTAGCAGAATACAAAATCAACACACAGAAATCTGTGATAGCTGTATACACTAATCACAAATTATCAGAAAGAGAAATTAAAAAAATAATTCCATGTAAATTGCATCAAAAACCCATGAAAGACCTACACACTGAAAAATATAAGACACTGATAAGAGAAAATGAAGACAACAAATAAATGGAAAAAAGTATCCCATGCCTATGGATTGGAAGAATTAATAGTGTTAGAATGTCCACAACTATCCAAAGCAATCTACAGATTCATTGCAATCCTTATCAAAATTCCAGTGAAATTTTTCACAGAACTAGAACAAATAATTCTAAAAATTGCATAACACCACAAAAGATGTTGAATAGCCAAATTACTATTGATAAAAAACATAGGTGAAGGTATTACACTCCCTGATTTCAAGCTATACAACAAAACTACAGTAATCAAAACCATCTTATATTAGCATAAAAACACACACACACATCAATAGAACAGAATGGAGAGCCCAGAATTAAACCCCCACATAGATGAACAATTAATTTATGACAAGGAAGCCAAGATCATACGATGGAGAAAGGACATTCTCTTCAACAAATGGTCCTGGAAAAAATAGACAGCCACATGACCACTCTCTTATACGATGCACAAAAATTAACTCAAAAATGGAGTAAAAACCTGAATGTAAGATCTGAAACCATAAAATTCCTAAAGAAAACATAAGATCGGAAACCATAAAATTCCTAAAGAAAAACAAGGAAAATTCCTAAAGAAAACACCTGAACATGAGTCTTAGTGATATTTTTTTGTGTATAGGATTCCAAAAGCAAGAGAAACAAAAGCAAAAATAAACAAATGGGATTACATCAAACTGAAAATATTTTGCATAGTGAAAGAAACCATCATTAAAACAAAAAGGTGATCTACTGAATGGGAGAAAGATTTTGCAAAGCATATATCCAACAAAGATTAAGATCCAAAATATGTAAAGAACTTATACAACAACAAAAAAGAAACAGTCCAATTAAAAATGGTCAGATCTGAATAGACATTTTTTCACAGAATACAGAGTTGGCCAACAGACACATAGAAAGATGTTCGACATCACTAATCATCAGAAATACAAATCAAAGCTAAAATGAGATATCACCTCCTACCACTTAGAAGAGCTAGCACCCAAAAGACAAGAAATAACAAGTGTTAGCAAGGATGTGGAAAAAAGGGATCTCTCATACACAGTTGATGGGAATGTAAATTGGTGCAGCCACTATAAAAAACAGTAGAGGTTTCTCAAAAAAAATAAGAATAGGACTAACATATGATCCAGCCATTCCACTTCTAGGTATTTATCCGAAGAATGTGAAAACACTGATTCAAAAAGATATATGCACCCCTATGTTCATTGCTGCAGTATTTATAATAGCCAAGAAATTGAAACAACCTAAATTTTCATCAGTGGATGAATGGATAAAGAAGATGTGGGGTGTGTGTGTGTGTGTGTGTGTGTGTATGTGTGTGTGTATGTGTTTTATAATGGAAAACTATTCAGCTTGCTATTTGCAACAACAAGAATTCACCTTGAAGGTATTATGCTAGGTAAAGTAAGTCACACAAAGAAAGACAAGTACCATATAATTCCACTCATTTGTGGAATCTAAAAAAAAACAAAAGAAAAGAAAAATAAACTCATCCATACAAGAGAACAGATTGGTGGTTACCAAGGGGAAGGTTGGGAGATGGAGGTAGGCGAAATGGTTGAAGGGGGTCAATTATAGGGTGACGGATCATAACTAGACTCCTAGTGATCACTTTACTTACAGCACATACAGATGGCAAATTGTAATGTTGTACACCTGAAACTTAAATAATGCTATATGTCAATTTTACCTCAAATAAAAAAAAAAAAAAAGGAGAGTATAGCCCACGGTTTTGAAGTTCAGTCTTCAAGTCAGATTCAGATAAAAGAAGTGGGAATGACAGAGACAAGTGGGCACAAGAGACCTGGCCTTGTAGAGCAGCTTTTCCTAGGTTCCCCCTCTGTCTGCCCTAGGAGATCAGTGGATCTCACCCTGGGTGGCATATTAAAATCACCAGGAGGGCTTTTTTATTTTATTTTTTTTTTAATTTTTTTCTAATGTTTATTTATTTTTGAGAGAGAGAAAGATAGAGGGACAGAGTGTGAATGGGGGAGGGGTAGAGAGAGAAGGAGACAGAACCTGAAGCAGGTTTCAGGCTCAGCTGTCACACAGAGCCCAATGTGGGTCTCGAACCCACGGACTGGGATCATGATCTGAGCCAAAGTTGGCTGCTTAACCGACTGAGCCATCCCGATGCCCCAGGGGGGCTTTTTAAAAACACTGATTCCTAGCGCCCCTGGATGGCTCAGTCGGTGGTTGAGTGGCAGCCTTCTGCTCAGGTCATGATCTCACAGTTTGTGAATTCAAGCTGTGCCATCAGGCTTGCTGCTGTCTGCACAGAGCCTGCTTTAGATCCTCTGTCCCCCCTCTCTCTGTCCCTCCCTCGCTCCCACTCTCTCCCTTTCTCAAAAATAAATAAAACATTAACAACAAACAAACAAACAAAAAAACACACACAAAAAAACACATTGATTCCTGAGCCCCGTCCCCATAAACCACTCCCATGGGGGGTGCGGTCTTGGCATAAAGTGATTCTCCAGTGCAGCACCAGGACTGAGAATTGGTGCTTTCCAGGAGCCTCTACCTGAGTCTCACATACTGCATTCCTAGCCCATTCCCACCCTGTGCTTCCCCACCTCCCATCCCACCTGCCCTTGAGAATTTTAAGGACAATCAGAATGTGCCCCTTGCACTTCTGGATGTAGGGCCCTGCCTTCCTTTCTTCCCCTCCCCCACTTTCACCTTTTCTCTCTAGAAATATCCTTTGCAGCTTATTAGCATCACTGCCCCAGAAACATCTCCTCATACCTATGGGAAAGAATTCTAAATGCTTTTAAAGGTGTTATTTCTATACCTGATCCACAAGTCTGCTTTCCTCTCCTTTTCCAATCAGCTATTCCTGAGAAAGAGTTCCTTTTTACATATTAGTCAATATTTAAGGAGAGACACTATGGGGTCTTGGGCCTCCCCTAGGACTAGTGGTCCTCCAACCATACTCAAGAGAATAGTTGTGTTTCAAGAAAAGAACTGAGAGGCAGGGGTGCCTGATTGGCTCAGTCAGTAGAGCATGTAACTCTTAATCTCACAACTGTGAGTTCAAGCTCCACTTTGGGTGTGGAGCCTACTTAAAAGAAAAAAGAAAAAGAAAAGAACTGAGGGATTTCATACCGAAGATTAAATAGTGGTTCTTTTTCTTCATAGAGCAAAAGAAAAATAAGTTAGTAGATAGAATTTCCTCAACTTGAGGATTATACTCTCAAATAAACTTCCTTAAATCCTTAGTACCAGCTATTGCTTGCCTAGTGTGGAATGAACTAAAAGATGAATCTGATTTTTGCACTGGTAAATGAAATCTACCACTACGTCCTGTGCTTTCAAGAACACTATGTCCAGTGGATGACCACCTGAACGTGTGGGGAACTATGGTCCCAAGGACTTGAAACATCCACCTTACCCTTACCCCAGACTAGAAGCCCCCTGAGCAGGCTTACTGCTCCACATTTGGCAGTTTTAGGATCATATGCACTCTAAGACGAGGGAGGGGAGGTGTTGGAGGTATGGAGTGACTTACCTACGGGCAAGAGGAAGGTCCATCTTTCCCAGGTGCTTCTCTCTCCCTGCCTGCCTCTCTCTCTCTCTCTCTCTCTCTCTCTCTCTCTCTGTCTCCACCCCCACCGCCCACCCCCCCATCCCAAACCATTGTGAAGAGCGCTTCTCTGAAGGTTTTACAATTTGTCAGTCTCCCAACATTCCAAGCCAATTTAATAAATGTTGAGCCCTGTAAATCCCTCACACCTGTGTTACACTGAATTTCAACCACCATAATGAGACACTAGCAAGTGAACCTGTACAGCCACAATAGCCTTCTGACCATAAAGCCTGAGGGCACCATCACCCAGCCTCAGCTTTGCCCAGAGTACCTGTTACTCAAGTTGCATGACCTTGACCTCCCTCTTATACAACGGCAATACTGTCCTCATTATCAGAGAAGAGTCTGGTCCAACTGAAGGCAAGAGGAGGGCTCCCACAGCAGAATGCCCTGTGGCAATGTTAGCCAGAGTAGTCTCGTTCCTTCCAGAGCCATCAATCTCAGATATTTTTTTCTTATAAAAACAAAATAAATTCAATATTTGCCCACTGGAAACTAGAGCTTGTACAATTAAACACAGACTCTCGTCTGTCAATTGTCTCATAGAACAGACTGGGGTTGCATTTCAAAAATTTACAGCTGATTATTTTTTTCTTTTTATCACTTTTACAGAGACATGCGAGAAATGAAAAACCTTTTAAGCAAACTCAGGGAAACTATGCCTTTACCATTGAAAAATCAAGGTAAGTTCTTGTCATTTTTCTTTGAGGCAGAGGATGTTGTTAACACGATAACCTTGGGACTTGTTTCTTGAGAAATTACAAGTTTGTTTTACACAAACAATAGAAGGCATTGAATATACATTCCTCTCTCTTCAAGAAGATATGATAATGAAAACAGAGTCCCTCAGGCGAGCACAGCTGTGCTCTGACCCTCAAGCAGAGGCCTCCTCTACTGGCCCTGTCAGTCAAGAGCATGGATTCATTGCCATGCTGTGGAAAGCACTGTACCAGGAGTGGCAAATACAAAAGAACTGGAAACTTGGCCCTTGACTTTAAGAAGTTTACGGCCTATAGGAGGACACTTAAGAAACTTCCAAAGGAAGCTCTCTGCCATATAGATGTTCACTTATCTAAAAGAAGTAATAACAACATATATTGAGACCTCACATTGTGCCACTGTGGTTCCACACCCAATCCAATATGTGGGGGTGGTTTTCCATACCACCAAGAAATTAGGAGACACCAGCAGGGTGTTCTGCAATTCATCTGAATTCTGACAAGACAGGGAGACAGCACCAGATCCCCCAAGTTAAGGGCTACACATGACTGCCCTCCCCCACCACTTGGGATGTACAGGTGTGAAGCTCCAACGGCCCCTCCATGAGTTTAGTTAATCTGCTAGAGCGGCTCACAGAATTCAGAGAAACATTTTACTCAGTAGATCACCAGTTTATTGTAAAAGGATATACCTCAGGAACAGCCAGATGTCAGATGCCAAGTACAGAGTGTGGGGAAAGGACAAGGAGACTCCATCCCTTCCCAGGTGCACCATGGTCCTCAGATCTCCACCTGTTCACCAACCTGGAAGTCCTCTGAACCTGTCCTCTGAACCTTGCTGGTTTTTATGGAGGCTTCATTATGTAGGCATGATTGATTAAATAAATCATTGGCCATTGGTGATTGAAATGTCTTCAGTTCCTTCCCTTCCCCGGAGGTTGGGGGTGGGACTGAAAGTTCCACCCCTCTGATCACAGAGTTATTCTCCTAGCAACCAGCCCCCATCCTTAGGCAGTTTTTGAAAGTAACCTTATTAACATAACAAAAGGCCCCTTTACGCTGTCATCACTTAGGAAATTCCAGGGATTTTTAGGAGCTCTGTGCCAGGACTGAGATGGGAGACAACTGTATATTTCTTCTTATAAATCGCAATATCACAACCACTAAATACTTTACATGGATTAACTGTATTAACTTATTTAATTCTAATAACGCCTTTGAAGGAAATAACGACTAATGCTTCCCAATTTACAGGAAACTGGGGCAAAGAGAGGTTAGCTAACTCTGCGAAAGTCACACAGACTGTAAATAGATGGTTGAGATGTGGTCCCAGGCAGTCTGTCTCCAGAGCTAGCCTATGGAAACATACACCTTCACACAGAAATGGAAAGGTATTTTCACTAGAGTTAAATTTCCATAAGGGAACCGCCTCTATATGCTTTTGTCAACTATTACTGTAGCTTCTGTACCCAGAGCGATGCCTGGCACCTGGTAGTAAAACCCCCAGCATACACGATAAATGTGTGTTCAATCTGTGCCCAACTTTGCAGTCCCAGGGTCTGAAGATCCGTACCAAGGACCTGAAGGAGCACGTTCCCCTACGTGGCCAGAGCGGCCTTAAGTGAAGCAAGCACCAGTTTCGGAGAGACATAACCAGAGGGTGGGGAAAGGGTTTTTAGAGTAAGAAAGAAACTCCTGTGGTTCCCCCTGATCAAAGCCTGGGCGGAGGGAGGACAGGGTGCTGCTTGCCTTTGAGAGGATTTGCAGCAGAGCTGGGAGTCTGCTGGCTCAGGGAGCAGCAGAAGGTGGCAGAAGGTGGAGAGGTTCAAGTGGGAACACCAGATGAAGAGGTCGACAGGTAGCGCGGCCTGAGCTCCACGGCAGGGAGGCGGGGTGTAAGGAAATGAGAGGCAGGGGTGCGGAGCATCAATTAACTCGGAGGCCCCCTGAAGGGCCTAGAATCAGATGAACGGGCTTGAGCCACAGGGGTAGTGTTGTAGAGGCCTTGTGGTGGTTTCTGGAAGCAGACATTGTGGTGTCTAAATGGGGTGTCTGTCAGATCAGATGGGGGCCCCCAAATGCGGGGTGATGATCAGGTGGAAGCCAGTGGCTTGGGAGATGAAGGGATTCACCAGAGGCAGAACAAAGGAGATAGAAGTTTATGGCCTACACCTCAAGGAAGCCGCGGGCTGAACGGCAGAGGAGAGGCTGTCTGCAACCAGGCGGTGGGTGGGGGCTGGTTTTAAAGGGGGAAGACGAGGAGGAATGGAGACATATGGAATGTTCCCTTTTTTGGTAACTGTGCCTGGTGGGAAGTAGCCCATTGGTGGGGTAGGGTCTATGGCTATTTTGAGGTGGCCACCTGATAGATGGGCCTGTGTTCAGCCAGGTGGTCGCTGTGGGCCCTTTCTGCATTCCACCTCACAAGCCTGTTTGCCTAAAAGTGGCCTCTACAGACACAGTGTAGTGATGAGAGACCCCCCCCCCCCCACCACAGCATGGAAGATTGTTGCTAGCAATCCGCATGGTGGTTGGGACCAGGGACTTTGGATTAAGGCGATGCTTGGGTTTGAATGCTGGCCCTGCCCACTTACCAACTTTGTGCCCTGGAACAAGCTGTTTAACATCCAGCCATTTCATTTTCCTCAGCCCTGAAAAGGAGATGATAGCATTACTTACTTCAGAGGGTTGTCCTGAGGTTTAAATGAAGCACCGCTTGTGGAACGTCTGCTACAGACCTTTCAGAGAGCAGATGCTGACGGGTGCTTTATTGTTATTGTTATTGTTGTTGTTGTTGTTGGTATTAGTATTCTTTACCAGCTGGCCCACCCAGCCTAGCTCAGGAGAATGCCACATTCTCATCAAATAGAACAGCCCCTGCTACCACGCATTGGTCTTGAGCCTGCAGTCCAGAACATCGGTCTCTGTGACTTTGGAGTTGGAGCCATGTCTGAAGCTATTCTCAGTTTCTTTATATGTCTGGCAAGTTCCCCCTGTCAGCAGCATGGAGGTCTCTCCCTGTACCTCACAATCAGGAGCCCAGGAGGATGAGTACCAGAGCCCTCAGAAAGAATTTCATGTGCGGCATGTAGCCTCTATTTTAAGTCAAACCATCCAAAATATTTGCTCTACATTTCATGAACTGCATCCAATAGTTTCCGAAATGTGCACTAATGGAAAAACGGAAATTTCATTTTATTTACCTAGGACATTTTTATAATCAAAAAAGTATAAATATTTTGTATAACTTTGTATTACTTTTATAAAAAGAAAAAAGTAGAATTTTAAATATATTTTTCAAATATAATAATAATAAATGATTGGTACTGTGAATAAAACCATGAGTGAAAAGGGCATAGTCCAAATAAATGATATTCAGGATTTAAACTTTAAATCTGTGTGGAGCAGAAAAAGGAAAAAGATAGGAGATTCAAGGACCTGTTCAGGAGGGAATGAAGCAATAGGATTTTGAAATTTAAAAAAAAAATTGAGGTGAAGGCTTCAATTCAGGTAATTTCAGATCTCTTCACTTGGGGGAGAAATGGGACCCTCAGCATGTGATGCCACATCTCTCTTCTTTACATGTTTCATGGGTACTCACAGCATGATGTCACTATGAGCTGAACAGTAGAGAAAGGGGGTTGTGAGTCTGAATCAGAGGGTCTGAGAAACCCTGAAGGAAGGAGAGCAGGTCTCTTGGGTCCCTCTGGGAACATTTTTTTAGCAGATGCATATGGCACCATTTTAATGAACAAATCAGTCAGATTCCTCTGTCTGATTCCATAAACCAAGAAAGACCATAGGGGCTTACCATGACCTTCGTGGAATTCTTTTGCACGGATCTGTTTATTATACAGGTCTAGGTTAATACATGCAAGAAATGGTGTGGGGTAAAATGTGGAAAAATGTATCCCAGTTCTTTTCTCGAGGACCTTATTGTCAAAACATCTTTGTAACTGGATGAAAACCATTATAGAAAGCCATCTGTTTTCTTTCTGGCTCTTTCTTTCCTTTCTCTTTTTATTCCATTTACATGTGGGTCTGAAGCAGAGAGAGAAAAGGGAAAAGATACCACTACTGTTTCCCTTTTTTCCAACCTCAAACCCTGACCCTGTGAAAATCCTGCCAGGCAGGTGCTGGGGGATTCTACAAGGGAGACGCTCAGATGCCCCTGTTCTCCAGGCTCCACCCTAGTTCTCAACTCAGAAACTTCCATGTTTATTTCAGCATTTAAAGGTTCAAATGTATCTCCCCCCTTTCGTACCACAATCAAAACTTGACTCAACAACAGTTTGTTTTAAATTGATTTTCAGTGGCCAATAAAGGAAGGTGGCCAAGAGCAAGAATTTTAATGGGTAGCGATTATGCCCTCATTTCAGACAGTGCCTTTTCTTTCCCATCCTTCCCGTTTAAGACTGGAGACAAAGAGATGCACAAAAGAAAAGTGAGCTGTCCTCTTTCTGCCGCGGCTCCACAGCAGGCTTCTGACCACGGTCAGGTCTCCTGGCTCTCAGCCCACTGTTCTTGCCACTGCTTCAGCGCCTCTCCTGTCCTACATTCTGGGTCACTGGCAGTGCTGTAGGGAGCTTCATTAATTATGATAGTCTTGCTGTGTCAAATGGATTACAAATGGAACCACCTGTGGGGAGCCTGCAAGGTTACTGACAAAGGCTAAAAGGAGATTGGAAAGTGAAGGACAAGCATCTTCTAAATGCGTGTTGTAATCAAACAAAACAAGGTGGCAGAAATAAATTAGGCCTGAAAGACAGTTTCACCTTTTCCAGAATTCTGACTTAATGAATGCTGTAGGGTGTGTTTGTACATTCACTCTTGCCTAGAATGTGGTTGTTGAGACCATGCGTGAGAATCCGTCTGAAGGGGATCAGTCAGGAATTGAATCTGCTCTAGAATGGGTCCCCTCCTGGAGACAGTGCTATTCCAGACTAAATTGGGTCTAGGAACAGTTCC